GGTGTATTTATACGTGAGTATCGCGATTGTGCTGATAATTGAATGAAAATTTGTTATGGATCGTTACTGTTGAATGAAAATTTAATAATAACTACATACGGTTGTGGATAAATTTATTAAAGGATAATAATCAGCATTGTTATGATTTAATGATCAATAAAGCAAAACTTAGATAAACGTAATAATTGTGCTTGCAGCAGAGCCGTGAACGTATACCAGTCGAAGATGCTCGCTTAGAGCGAGAGGGTTTTGGTGCGGTGTTGTCAAAACTTTTTTGATTTCAGTATATCCTACACAACTTGTGGTATGTTAAGTTTGTACGGACGTAATTCCCAGAAGAGCCAATTTTTATTGTACGCATCGATTCAGATTCATTTTCCAAGCTTGGCCGTCCGTGTGTCCGGCTATCCGTCTGATGTTTATTCAGTTTTCTTGTGATCACACATGAGTTGTGTTGCAATTCTTGATATATTTCGATGACATAAGGTGCACCGACTTGTTTTGTCCCAAGGAACAATGCTTTCAAAAATGATTGGAAACGCACGTATCCCCATAAATAAATATTATTGTAATTTCCAGAATTTCTCAACTAAAATTATTTAGTAGTAGTATTTAGGCATTCTAAATTGGCTTTGGCTTTGATGAAAATTACGCATTTACAATAGTATATATAATGTATAATTTTCGATGTATTACTAAGAAAATGGCTGAGTGACTTTATTAGGCGAAGTGGCCCAATGACCGGCCTTGCCCTACTATAGCATGCTTAATTGTTTTTAAATAAAACTTACATTATACCTGATAAGATTTCCGCTTAATTGAAGAGTATAACGTTGCAACATATGGCTAGCAAAAGCAATCTGATAAACTAACGCTCGAACCTTGTACACGCACCCGTCCACTTAAGTCCCTCAAAGCATGTTTATACAGTCACGGAGAATCTTTAGTAGCTTGTGATTGTTCCAGAGACAATTGTTATCCTTAAAATAGACTAAAAGAAAAGGCTTTCAATAATATTTTAACGTGTAAATCATATTATTCCATTCTCTTCAATGGGTGTACCTTTCACTTTGCTCTTTAACTTTGGAGGTAATCCAAAATTCTTTGTTTTTTGTAGGATATAAAGACCTTTGGACAAATTGTGATATAATCACCTTAAACTCATCATTAATTTTAAGCTACACAATGCCTTAAATGGCATGAAACTAGAATCGATCCCGACACAGCTCGCCCATGCAATCGGCACACAGCATAAAAAATTCCGCAAACAAATCCCACGAATCCTTTTTTAGCTTTTGGTTACAGCGAAAAAGAAATTATTTTTAACTATTTCCAAACGCGCTACGTATCTAAAAACCTAAAGATCCGTTATACATTCAAGCGATCAAAATATTAAGGGAAATAAGCAAACGAGTTTCCGGCTCTCCACGATTTTGAAGCGATTCACATTCGACTTGATGATTGTAAAGAGAAATTTCAAGCATTTCTTTTACATAATTACACACGGAACACGTTTGTGTATAGTAATAGTTGGTAACACATTTTTCCGTTGCCAATATTTTTTCGCCATAAACTTGTTAGTACGCGTAAATGCTAAAATTAGTCTAACTTAAGAGGACAAATTAATGAATTATTGAACGTTAAAATTATTCCCCGACGACATAGTGCAATGCGTAAAATATTCAAGGGATTTTTTAAAAATAAATTTATGCTCTTTGAGCAAGTGTGACCTCCGAACTATTTCTTAATTGTAAACTAAGTGACAAACAGCCGGAGATATAAAAATGCAATAGGTGCACTTCTCTTCTCAATTGCAGAAAAATTTAAGCTTTTTTTGCAAGACGCAAATTATACTCTAATCGAGACGATTATCGTATGCCGACAAAAGGATATAATTGTGTCTGTTCCTAAGAAATTCCTAAATTTAAAAAATTTCTATATAGTGGAGTGTGGAAAAAAATCGGGCTTTTCTGGAAAAATGGTTCAAGAGACACTTAATGGGTGATAATGTGTGTGTATAATGAATGCAGCACTGTTAGGTCCCAAAGTGTGGAATGTTCTGTTCTTGAAAGTTCAACATACTGCGGGTCACCTAATATTAGATAATATTTTCTCACCACAATTCAGAATGCCAGCGTAACCGCAAATGCCAAGGAACTAGAGCGTGTAAAGAAAAAACACCTGCAGGCATATTGCCTGTCAAGTTCACAAAATCTTCTCTATTAGCGAACTGAACTAAAAAATCAATACAATATTAATATTTAAAGTGAAGTTTGGACGGCTACGTCGAATAAAACATTTACTTTAACGGAAACAAACGAGATAGAGAGAGACGCCTTAAAAGCATTACACTTATATTTCCAAAAATCAACAACAAAAACAATGAGAAACGAAGACCGAAAACAAAAAAAATGGTTACGTTCGCAAATTGAGCGACAAAAAAAGTGAAAATTCAATTTCAGCGATGTCGGAAAGACCGCAAAGTAATCGAAACAAAAACAACTGGAAGAAGACAACGCTAATAACAACAAAAAAGTAAATAAATAAAGGATCGAAAAACCATCACGAGGTTATTTGCCATTTGCTTATAAAATTGTGAATGTGAGTTAATGTCTGTACGCAGAGATACCAACCAAGTATTCAGAAGTACAAAAAAAAAAAAAAAAAAAAAAAAAAAGGAAAAACACTACACAATGCCTTCAAATTCACCGTTGTTTGCCTACATTTTTGTTTTAACGTTTTGAATGCTTGGAATTTGTAACGAGCTACTAACCATAACATCACCATGCAGTAGCAATTTTCCAAATTGACAAAAACTATCGAAAATCAACAAGCATCGAAAAAGATCACAAATAGAAAACAAAAACAATACCCACTAACAATACGCTCTATACACACCATGAATACCATGCAGACAAGAGCCATAAAAAGTGCTCAGATACTTACTCAAGGCGCTTTGATTTCCGTTTTTTTTTTTTCCAGATTGCTTTTTATAACCAATACCTGCCGCATAAGCGAAGATGCTTTGAAATTTTTTTGCGCGGAATATATTCAAGTTTCCATTTTACGCTGTTTTACACGTACGCGCAAGGATGTAGGGACGTGGCAATGAAACGATAGCAAATGTTATGTGCATTCGCTTACGTTCGTGTATAGCTTTGATTCTATCAGACTTATGGACAAATAGACGGGACTGCGCAGTTTGGTAATGAAATTACAAATTTTATGGTTTCGGTGCTACTATGAGAAGTAAATTATACGTAAAAAAATTCAACCATCACATTATTTATTCAATTATGCATTTATATACAAGGTAAGTAAGCCCTTCTGACTCTGTACAATTTCAAGTTTATTGCAGAGACAACTAATGTTTCCTATGCCATGTAATTCTTTTTGTTTTTTGTCCGTTTTTCCGTTTACCTGTCTTTTCTCCTTTTTAAAACATGTGCCTTAATAAATTGTACTAATATTTATGTTTATATATGAATCAATGGCATGAATTTTAAACTGTTTGATATTTTCGGCATTCAGTTTCTAAGTTAAATCTTATAAGGTGTTCCAAAATGTGTTCACATTTCTTTTTGCTTTTCGATTTCGTTCATTTTTGTTATTCGCTGTAAAGTAAAAAACCTTGTCCGAAAATTTGATATGCGTTTGCAAGTTTACTCTACTCAAATGACTTGACTTCATGAAAATTGAAATGAAAATGAAAACATGGTTAACTCCAGTAAGATTTATATCCAAATCGGCGAGAATATAGCATATTTTTAGAGCTTTAGATCTTGGGTCATTATTTCTCTCTTGCAATTCAATACCCTTTTAATAGATATCCGCAACTGTGCGAGATTGGCGGATGTTAATATGCTTTTTTGATCGAAAAAAGGCGGTTTCTTCCTCAGCAAAGACTTTTTTTTGCCTTACGCGAAGGGCTTATCAGTCCGATAATCCATTGTATTTATGTCAAATGAGAAACGAAATAATGCAAGATAACGATAATCGCAAATGATCTATGAAATGTAAAGAATATTTTCAAACGAATAAAAGTCACACTTGTACTTTACTAAATAGGAGTGACTTGGGAATTATGTTTCATAAAAAAAACATGTCACGAAAGTGTAACTTCTTAACCTAAGCTGGCTATACAGGCACGTTTGACATATTACAAATATAAATTCATGTTGACACACCCAGTCTGTATTATTACATTTTACATAAAACAAATATCTAAAGTAAAAATCAAAAATTCTAGAAAGTTTAATCGATTTTATGTGATTCTACTATAATAAGGATTTCTCAACAATGGCGATGGAATTGTTATGTCTATAGCTTTTATTAGAAAAAAACATTCAGTAAGATTGACTAAGTATATCTGAAGATAAAAAGGCTTAGTTTTCGAAAAACCATTTCGCGCTTCAGAGAGCTTTTTGCAAATAAAAATTACGCAAACATCATGACATTAAAAGACACGGGAGTTGCAAGTGACTACATATGAAATAAATGTTAATGTTAGTTAAAGCTTAAGTAAATGTTGATACGAGCAAGACAAAGGAAACCAGTTTAATAAATAACTTTAAAAATAGAAAGATACCCACGCTCCAAGATATGCCATGCATGCATGCGTGCATGCATGCACGCTCACCGTAAACTGCTACCAAAAGTAATCCAATCTAGAGAGATGACTGAAAGAGTAAACAGAGCTTTCGTAGGTACAAACGTATTTAACACAAGATCGATTTCAAAGGTAGGAAATACGATCTGAGAAATCTCAGCAAACAGAATTGAGCGAAAACACTAAGCGAACGGTTAAATGTCGTATATTAAGCGGACTTGTTCTGTTTTTATTTTCTTCTTAAATGGTAATTAAATTAAGTCACAGAAACAGTTCGATACGAAAAAATAAGACGACGAAAAAGAGACATAATCACGAATTTTAAATATTCCAAAAAAAGCAAAAAAAAAAAAAAAAAATGATTTGAATAAATAAATAAAGCAGAAAAAGACAAAATATTTAAAAGTAAGAGAATCATATTCGCCTTTGGGCGAATTTCGGATACCCGCTATCTATCTATGGTAAATATATAAAAATCATTTAGCTTTTTACGAATTACGGTCATATCGGTCAGTCAGTCAGTGTTTACATAACTTTTTCAGAGATAACCTTTCATAAATGCATAATAAATGGGAATGTGTCGCTATATTTGTGAAGATATTTGATAAAAAAAAATTCACTCCGCTTTCAATAGTTTTTGCCTCAATTCTTCATTTCAACTCACCGGTATTATAAAAGCAAGCAACAATGAGACGGAAGGACGTGGGATTTTTTTTTAAGCAACAATGTTTACAGATGCCCCACATGATAGCGGGTATAAAAGAAAATCATAAAATATAAAAAAAATATATATATATATAATTCTGTGCAGAATTAAGACTGAGAGCCAAATATTAGTAAATTTTTAACAAAATATTTTAATAACTTTTGAAAGAATCATTTTGACAACGAAAGGCAAAATAGTTAATTAGAATGTTTTCGAAGGTTCAGATGGTGATGCTCAACACTGCGACGCATACACTCTAGTTGAAATTTTTCACTTTGAAAACAACAAGTGTCCGAGGTAACCGTACAGATGATAATAAAGTAAGAAAAACAAAGAAATAGTTTTTGCAAAAGAAAACGTAAACAAAGGGGTAAGAGCTCAAAAATCAAAAAAAAAACAAAAAAAATCTTTTTTTATCCCAGACCGGAAAGAAGGCGAAAAGGAGAGTCATTTAAAAAAAAAAAAGCTCGTTTATTGGAGAATTTTTGCCCACAACAAACCGGTCAGAATGGATTTTTCTTTCATTCGTTGCATGACAGACTAGAGCTCGGATTATTAAAGCAGCGTATATCTGTATTTGCCAAAGTGAAAAATAAAACAAAGCCCGCACCACACACATCATTTTTGTGTGATGGAAATGGTTCACTGCTAAACAGTGTATACGTCTAGTCTAGTCATGTTAATTTAATGTTAACCATGCTAATGATGATAACATTTACGGTTGCGGCAGTGATGACGACAATTATGATGATAATGATGATCGTAATGATGACCACACTTACAATATATATAAATGTAGATAACAGGTTCCCCGGCTTGAATGTCTGTAACAACAATTAAAGCAATAACAACTGATACTTCATCAACCAAAATAAATTATCTGAAGAATTTCTCTAGTGTCTGATCTCATACGCAAATGCTTCAAACAAAAAAAAACAGCATAGACGGTGAATAAACACATAGTTTACTCAATAAAGTCTGCTACACACACAAAAGATGCGCAAAAAATCTAGTTTTCAAACGTCTTTCTAACACATATTCCCACCATTACGAAAACACGAGGCAACAAGTCGCTCTTTTGAGCAAAATAAATGAACAACGTTTCCCAACAACCACGTAGCAACAACAACAAATAGAACATCTAGTGCAATTTTTCAGATAATTTCTGTGCCACTCGATACGAAAATACACATGATATTTGCCTTTGTCTCTAAAGAAAAGTTCTCAATGGAAAACAATGAGAAAATGTTCTCCTTCACTACGCCCGTTTCAAAGGTAAGTTTGCTATTAACTTAACATTTTTTCTCATTGTTTTTATGGTGCATCTCTTATTTCATAATTCCTCTCAAAACCCTTTCTATTGTCATGCTGCATAGTAATATATGTCGTTACTCCCACACCACCGGAGATATCTTTAATTTATCGTACGCTTATGAAACATACGAAAGCCATAAGATAGATGTGTTCCTGTGATGAGCGTAAGCATCAGAGTCTATAGAGTATAGAGTCTTACCTGCCTGCCTGCCTGTCTGTCCATTTATTTCAATCACAATCTTAGCCTAAAAACTATGCTTGGGGGAACATTTTTTGCACAAATTTGAGAGATTAGTAAAATCGGTCTTCGAGTTTACTTAAAGCCTTTAAGCTTGATGCTGCAATATCCTAAGTTCTTCTTTAGCAAGATCCTAATGCAAAGTACGAAAACCAGTGAAACCGCATTTATTAACACACACAATATTCGTAACGAATGCCAAGATAATATGATTGGTATCAAGCTAAAGTCGATCTGGAAATGCAGGCACAGAAATATTTGCTAGGGACCTAAGAAACGAATGCACCATAAAACCGACTTTTTAGATGAAGAGAAAAGCTTATGCCAACTATGGCATAAATAGTTGATCTTTTCAGTTCACGGCTATAAGAGAATTACGTTCGATATTTTTTAGATCACCAACTACGTGGAGATATCATTTTTTTGTGGGGGAATTGAAACAGAACCCTTTCTTTCGATTTCTTAATATTTTCTACTGGAACTTGCATAAGTTCATTACTTGCCTTATTTAAAGACATCGTAAAAGATAGAGTGACTTTTTAGGACTCAATTAGAAGGAAAATATAAATTTTTCTAATTCATGCCACGTAAGCGCAAGGTATCATAATATTCGTTCTAAGCCTAATGTTATTTTTGCTAATATAATTCTAATCCAATGCGATGTACATGCACCTCAGTGCATGAGCAGATTAATAGCATATGCAACTAAATATAGAGGCGTGCGTTTAATTTGTAGAAATAATTAATGTAGCATCGCTTAGAGAGAGAGAGGAGCACCAAGAGAGTTGATGTGCACACTTGAAGATACTTATATAGGTATTTAATCCAATTTTTCACATTCTAGTACATGACACGTTGTTTATGTATTATTCTCATTTAGGGGAAAAACACAACAAGGCAGAAACAATTCAAAAAGTATAACTTACAAATTTTTAACTTGCACAGCGATAACTATTTTGCAGATGCAGCGATTAATTGGCAGGAACGATGAAGTAGTCTCTTTATTAGGTTGTATGACGTAGATATTTTTCTTAGAGATGGTCACAAATATCTTGAAGGTTTGTTCGTCATTACCTGTTATCAGTCTGTTTTTGGAGAAATAAATTACTATTAATATAATCAAAAAGTCTTGATTGCATTTTTTCAAAATCTAGCATCTATAGCGTTGTAGATCAATATCTATATCAAGTGGACTACGCACTTACGAAGTATATCTGATAATTTGGCTAAATTAATTTTTATTTAAATGAGACCTTAGGGGGACTTTACCCTTTTTGTGAAACATTCCAGACGATCCGTAAAATTAATATTTTGTTATACGTGCATATCCATGATAGGAACAGAGAAAATATGTCACAGTTTGCAACTACCTTGAGATACCTTGAGATGACCGATTAAATACAATACGTTTTGCTTATTTAAGAGGAGTGGGGTACTTTCTCATATGTTACGATGTCACTACTGCAACTTAGTCGCATAGACATTCATACGGCCTTGCTATAAAGACATGCAGGAATCTAGCGAAATGATTAAACGCATTCATGGTTCTCTTTTAGAGTTAGGAGCAGTGACCTTAGTTAAGTAAGCTTAAGGCGAGCGCGCGAACTATCTCAACAAGGTCTAGAAAAAATTGAAGCCAATATTTTCGCCGTCGATTTGTTAAATGTACTTGACCCACGATCATTAGGGAGAGGCGCGTAATCTAAACATTTTGGGATCTGCAGGTTGAACCCGAGAACACAAATTGAACAAACGAGCAAACAAGCTTAGGTTCACAATCATTTTCTGAATCGATTGGCGTATTAAAAGGTGAATCTTCGTGTTGTATACATTCGCACAAACTTAATAGGCCTAGGATATAGAAACGGCCAAAGTTTCGAACACTTGCATTAAATTTTAGCCTTCCATTCAAGTGCAGAAAGATCATATGCAAGAAGTACTAGGGCAGGCAAACCTAGCTTTCATTCTTCAGTCACGCGATAGCACTTTTTGATGTCGAACTCTGCCGCGAAGACGTGAAATGAAACGTGCAAGGAATAAAAGAAGGGAGAGCTCGTATTAGCAAGGCCCCAAACTAAGTATTTAAATTCAAGTTTTCTACAATACTGATAAAAATTTCCATTTTCCTTTGCAATGCATTTGCAATTATGAAAAATATTCATCAATTAGTTAAAAACGCAAACCTTCCTATTCTCAGTGCTACAAACTGAATTAATGTTATGTCAGCAACAATTAATTATGCAAATAATATTCCCTTGTAGGTAACGGTCTCTTGTAGGCACCTAAACATATGCTTAGTATACCGCTATTGCAATTCTCCAGCCATGCATTTCTACGATAATTTTGACATTTCGGACCAGAATGATGGATTAATCGATTTGATTGATTTGGTTGATTTTTTTCAATAGCATTTCTTTTCTTTTATGGCGATTACAACTATCGAAAGCAATATGCACTTGAGCTTTGATTTTGAGATAAACGTAATTTAACTTTACAAAAAGAATCTATAAAGGTGAGCCCCGTTGGCAATCTGAAACCCAAATTATTCTCTTCTTATATGGAGAGAAAATCTATTTAAAATTTCTTCATCCCCGGTACGGATTGCAATGTGGGCCGGCGATTTAATTAGCAAATGAAACGTTGTTATATAACAACGTCCTTAATCCAAAGGAAAGCATAAACTCATATGTCATGTCATGATAGACGTGTAGTATGTATGTATGTATTATCATCTGACTATAAGCGAAATATGAAAACATTTTATTAGAATAGATTTTAATTAACTTTCTTTTCTGCGTTTATGGAAACTTATGACTTTTATGACTGCTAATAGAGTCAGGCAATTGAAACTCTGTCTTATCACATTTTATCGCATTTTAATTTAGTTTCTGTTTTTGTCGCCGCTCTCAGAATTTCTTTTCCATTTTCCTTTGAATCTGAACAAATATTTCTATGTTCTACTTAAACCCAGATTTTTTATTTCTTAAATGGGAAAAAAGAAAAAAGAAACACATTCTCATTAGTGCACTACATTCAAACATAGACGTACTTACATATCGATGTTGTGTACATACACAAGCATAAAAGCTAGACTATCCGTGCAACTACATAGAGAGATATTCCTATGTTTATATTATATAAACATATATATATATATATATATACATATTTATGTCTACAAAAGAAATCTCAAGACTATTAAAAAATCTACACTATCCAGCCAAATGAATAAAAGATCGTTAAAAAAATAAATAAATAAATAAAAAATAAAAAGTATTTGATTTAAGGGGAATCTTTTCATTTCCTGCCGCCGTCTTTACAAACACGCAATAAAACTGTGGTTGCCTTTAGAGAAAATTCCTTACACGGCACTAGCATTCTCTTTTCCCTTCCCTTTTTATTCAGGGCGTCTAAGTGAACCCGATAAAATGATGCGATTGCTTTCAAAAAATTCCAAAAAATATATCCCACAGGAATACTTAGGAAAAGGCGCTTACCAGCGGAAGTCTGTTGAAATTTGGGTTTTTTTTTTTTTGAAATCATTAGAGTTTTTTAGTTATTTTGACCGCAGACCGATGAAGTTAAGGATATACTCTCTCTCTCTCTCTCTCTCTCTCTCTCTCTCTCTCTCTCTCTCTCTCTCTTTCTCTCTCTCTCTTTCTCTCTCTCTCTTTCTCTCTCTCTCTACAGCATTTTGTTTCTAAGAACTCCAATTGCAAATAGAAAACGGGGACAATGCACAGCTTTGTACCGACTCTGAGTTGAACAAAGATTTAGCGTAAGAGAAGAGTGACGAACTGATAGTCGTGTCTTTAGAAATGGGAAATGCGAACTAAGTCTTTTCTTTTTTTCCAAATAACTACAAATCACATTTGATTCCTTGATCTTTACTTCTTACGAGTTACGATTTTCACGAAAGAACCAATTTTTTCCGTACCGAATAGACTTCGACTCATTCAGACCACCTTGGAAAGCAACTTTCTTCGAAAAGATGAAAGTTCGAAAAGAAGAAAGTTGCTTTCGCAGCAAGATTTATCTCGAATCGAATATTGACACTTATGAAAGCAAAGGGTGACATGGGTTGTGAAACTTTTTAAAAGGGTTTTTAACTGGGCACATATCGAAGTGCTTCTCGCTATCGGCGACGACTTTCTCTCCGCATTAGTGCAGCAATGACATGAGAAAGCTATTTTTAATTAAGGCTGCTTTCAATCGGTTAAATGCCAGTTAATAGATTGTATTGATTTTTTCTTATGCTATTCGTAAAAAGAAAATAAGCGACAACATAAAAAGAGCTTAGAAATAGATTCTGAACAATTAAGAAATTCTAAGAAATTGCATTTTCACTTGTCCACATACTTTTCGTTTTGACGTTCTGCCAGTGGCCATACTGTACATCCACTTACGCGTCACAAGCTCATTGCGTATAGTATAGTGTGGTTGCTAGCAATAATAAAAATAATAATAATAAGAACAACAACAACAACAACAATAACGATAACTACAACAATATTAACAATGTTGATGATGACAAAGATGACGACCATCAGACATTCTTTTAATTCTATTACTCAAATGCGTAAATGCCTGAATTGGTATTTAGATGCAATGCCATAAGGCGTCGCTTAACAACAGACCTACTTACCGAGCATCAAGTTTTTTCTACTCTTTAAAAAAAAAAAAAAAAAAAAAAAAAAAAAAACAAAACAAATCTTTCTCTATT